TCAGCTAAAGATTGGTTTTCAGAGAACTGCAACATCACTTGTAAGTTGCAGTTTAGACAAAATAAGAGGCTGCAATTGTGAGCGTTTCTTCAAACGATTCTTCATGTGGTCAAATGGACAGAGTTTTATCTCTTTGGCAACAAGACTTGTTCTTATTTTCAATAACAATTCTTACTCAGAGCTGTTTAGCTCTGATTAAGAAAGCTTAACTTACTGTCTGTCGTGGACTAATAAAGTCCACGACAGACAATTACAAATGTAATGAAACTAAGTAAATGTCCCCCATCTGTTTATCATTTCCCTTCAATTTACAATCAAAAACATATATTTGTTATATATTTGGTTCAAAACAATGTGTTTGAAATTTTATAATGTAATTGGATTCTTCACATGAATGTTCACTGAGGCTTTAGTGAGAGAAAAGAATCGTCACAATTTTTCTTTTTTTTGCTGAACTTTATTAAGCACAAAACCAAACATGACAGCAGCAAATTTGATCCATGTTCAATGATACTGGAAACTGATTTCCATTAACATTGAAAATTGAGAGAGAAAAACAATGACAACTTTCTCAACACATGACAAATTTGCTGACGTTCAAGTCTCCGTTTTATGTAGCAGCAGCTGGTGTTGTAGCTGCAGTTGTAGTTGTGGTTGTGGTGGTGGTGGTGGTGATAAGCTGGAGGAGCAGGGACAGCAGGGTGGCAAAGTTGGTTGTTGAGACCTGTAAGGAAACCATAAAGAGAGTTAGAAATTTAGCAAAACTACACATCAACTATACAGTAGATGTTGTAAATTTGTGGTTTATTACAGAGACAAGACATATTCTCACCTCATTGGAGCTGGATCCAGAGCCGGAGCGAGCAACTCGCTGGTGCTCCATCTGAAGAGAGCAAACAAATTAAGTCATTCTGCAGTTTACTTTGACTTCAGTAGTTCAAATTAACTTCTTACTATTTCATATTTTGTGGTTTTAAGGTCCTGTACTTGTTAATACACCTACATGTCACCAGTCTCATTTAACAGAACCTTTAAAGGAGCCATTGGTAGCTTTCCTTTCCAATAAAATATAACTGTCAGCTAACAGAGTTTAGTTCAACAGAACCCTTGGAGGAGTACCAAATACACTTCAGCTAAGAAATATTTTCAAATTTTTCTTGTAATTAATTTCTTTAACACAACACAGATAAAACATGGGAATCTTCTAAATGTCAATGTAAAACTGTGCCTGTCTCTGAAAAAAGATCTGCATTTGTGGACTTTTTCACAGAAAAAATGACATATTAATAATTTATACTCTTCAATAGATTTGTACAAAAAATGCTTCTTGAAATTACTTGCCTTTATAATTGAGGATCAAATACAAACTACACGGCTTAGGTGTGTAATAGGTGCTTGAAAACTCTGTTGTAAATTAAGAAATGTGTTTAGATGTGTGTGAAACAAGAGAAAAAGTGCTGTCATGACACACAAGAGAAGAATCAATATTCACTGCAAAGTTAAATTAAAATGTACATAGTTAAGCTTCTTTACAGTCCATTAAAAGAAAAAAGGCTTATCACTTACTGGTGTAGCCACAATGAGGCTCAGGAGGCATCCAAGAATAAGTGCTACCTTCAGCATGGCTGCAGTGATTTCAGCTGTTGGAACATAAATAAAGTCTTTATCAAGCAAACAAATTGGTTCAATGATACAAAGAAATTAAGTATAAATTGATATAGTCACCGTAGAGTCTTCTCTGCTTTGAATGACTTGACAGGAAGGTTGTGTTGAGGTGAAGTTTGGACTCCACTTATATAGAGTATCTGGATCAGGGTGTTGAGAAATGTTCCCTTTTAAAAATGCAACCTGGTTGTAATGTCTAATCAGGGATTATATATGGAAACCACATCTTGACAGCTGTGATAACATGACCACATGTTTTCTTTGTTTTTTGTTTTGTTTTGATTTTACATAATCCATAATAAGTCCACTCTCTTACTGCGAGAGAACGACAGAGTGCCACCAGCATTGATGTATATATATTACTGGACTGGACATATATTATATGTCTGTCGTGGACTTTATTAGTCCACGACAGACAGTAAGTTTAGCTTTCTTACTCAGAGCTAAAGAGTTCTGAGTAAGAAATGTTATTGAAAATAAGAACAAGTCTTGTTGCCAAAGAGATAAAACTCTGTCCATTTGACCACATGAAGAATCGTTTGAAGAAACGCTCACAATTGCAGCCTCTTATTTTGTCTAAACTGCAACTTACAAGTGATGTTGCAGTTCTCTGAAAACCAATCTTTAGCTGAATTATTCTCACACTACAATGTCATTTCAGACATTGTTTACTAGTTTTGTTTTGCTTTTGTCCTTTTTTTGCAACAAAATAGTGTGGGAGATACAGTAATTTTCATACTAACTTGGAAAGACTTAAGAGTGATAGAAATGTTGTTTCCACACTCAGGGACAGTACACCAGAGACGACAACTCAAGGTTGAGAGACTCTGGCTCAAGATCCATTTAAGGCACAAAATGAAAGACTTCAGACTCAGCTTCAACTTTTTCTCTAAAGACTGGATACTGTGTAAGGATGTGCATTTTTATTAGCCTTTGATGATCAAATCAATTTATTCCTATTGCGCCATTTACTGATGGAAATTGTAGCAGCACCAGTGGAGCGACTGGACAGTCAAAGGAGTCACCAATACTTCCACCCATCATGTTGGATGAACTTCTGTCCCTCTTATGTCGTGTGTTGAGAAAAAGGTCTGACATTCAAAGTTATCTTTACAAAAACCGCTTGTTTTAGTAAAGTTGTCATGATTTGCGGTTGTAGAATGTTGAGGTAGACGAAGTGGACCCAGGTAGTAGAGGAAATGATGGTTCAATGAAGAATAAAGCAGGTGAGCAGAAGGCTAAGAGCTCAGACACTGGTAGCCACTGGTAACACAACTAGAGACAATGACATCAGACAAGGACCCGACAACAAACAAGAGACACAGGTGGATTTAAATACACAGAAGGTTGTCAGGGGAACGAGACACAGCTGGGATAAATCAATCACAGAGGCTCAACTGACACAGAAAGCAAAATAAACACACAGAAAACTCAAATCTTCACAAAGTGATTTCACGTTATTAAAGGCAGCACTCAGAATAAATGTGGATATTTATTTCACTGCAAACTCACACAAAACATACTTTTCAAAAATAACACATTTATAAATTTAAATGAAGAAATCTAAGAGCTGCAAACTACAATCTGTGTTTTGCAGCTCTGTGCTCTCTACTTCTCTCTCTATACTCTGTGTGCCTGTCCCCAATCACATCAAACATGTGGATTTCTTTATTTGTGCAGGTTCCAGACATCTTTAGTCTCTTGTGGTAACCAAAATATAGCATAAGCTTTCAGCTCACATGTGCTAGAAAAAGATTTATTCACATTTATATACATTTATATTCATACTCTGGAATAGATTTAAGATGCAATTGCCAAGGATTCAGGGAAACTATTGCATTGAGTTTTTGTGTAATATTTGGCACAAGTAATATGCTACTTCCACCAAATAACGTCTGGACCCATCCAACAAAAAAAAGTAAAACAAAACCCCTTTCTCATTATTCTCTCATTGTTTAGCATATAGAAATATGTTTGGTAATCAGTACTGAGCTAAAACAAGGAAACTTTACAATGATCTGAGGTCAGACACTAAGAAGAAGACACAAATATGTATCATTGATAAACTGACAGGAGCTGGACCTCCAAACCCAATGGATGGATGGATGGATGGATGGATGGATGGATGGATGGATGAGATTAGGAAATTTTTGGTATGGAAAATTTTTCACTACTTCTTATTCACTGAGTACATGTGTTAAAAATGGAGTGAGAATTAACAATAAAAGGACAATATTGTTATGTATGATTTACTAAGAGATGGATGGCGACCTGACCAGGGCGCAGCCTGCCTCCTTACTGCTGGAGATAAGCACCAGCTCTGCTCACAAGGATAAACGTACCAGACTGGATGATTAATAAGAAAAAAAACAGCACAGAGAGGATTTTCATTCTTAAGGTTTATTTGTCATGCAAACAAACAGAAGGGAAAATGTTTCCTGAATGTTGAGTGAAAGACCATCAGAACAGCAGGTTTGGAACCTGAAATGAGAAAAGGTGAAATAGTCGCATAAAACTCAATAACCTGATCAGAAACAGATCAAGTTTAACATCTACTACTTCAAGCACTTGGTCACTCACTGACTGGTCACTGGTAACATTGCAGGCTTTATGCTGCAGCTGCAGCTATAATTGCTTGGAGAAGAGTGATGAGGTTAGCCAGCGAGAGAGTTGAGCTTGACTTTAGGGAAATCAAGAAGATTATCATTACACACACAGCAGAGGATTTTCTCCGTGATGATACAGTAACTTATGTTCAAGATTGTTTTAAATGTAAAGCAGAGAAAGTCGTCACCTCATTAGAGCTGGAACGGGCAAAGCGCTGATGCTCCATCTGTAGGTTGAACATATTCTGCTTTATTACAACAATAACACTATAATTATTA